TTGAATTCTTTAAATATTTTATGTAAATACAATGTTATCAATTCATGAAATAAATAATAATACAAATTAAATTTTAAAATAAATCGATGAATTTATTACACTGTAATTAACACAAATAATCAATATTAATATAAAATAAAATTTATAACAAATATATTGTTTTGTTGCACCGAGTCATGAGAAGGAAAAAGTGAATATTCAGCATTACTAACACAGTAACACTAACTTGTAAATTATTATTATTATTATTATTATTATTTTTTATTGATTCGGAAAAGGTCAAAAATCTAGAACACACAACTTGTTATTCAACTCATATCGAGTTTTAATTAAATCAGTTATTAATTCAAACCTTGAAAAAAAAATTAAACTAAATTCATTGGATGATTTAGATTGATTTGAATTTGTACATTATCTTTACTTACTTATGCCCTTAATTATACTTGTATCTTTGCTAGCATAAAAAGAAAGGAAAAAAAAAAAGAAGAAGAAGAAAGATCATGGACGAATAAATATAAAAATTAAGAACACATTTTAAGTAAAAAAATGTGAATAAAAGAATAAAATATATTTAATTTTATAAGAATCTAATATTTTGAGGACTTAAAAATATAATTTTATATTAATTTATTTAATTTTTAAAGATTTTTATATAAACTAAAACATATCGAAGTTTATTATAAATTAAAGCAAGCATTTAGGAGATTAAGCGCACAATATCAAGATCTCATGTTAAAAGAAACAATTATATATATAATTTTTATTTTATTTTATTTTTACTCTTTTTTATATCTTTATTTATTTTATCATATTATTTATTATATCTGTCCCTGTTTTCTTTTGATTTTTTGCTATCTTTTTTATTTCTTCCACCTCAATCTATAAATAAAAAATAAAATAAAAATAGACGTTTACATCTGTTGAAAAAGCTGTTACGAAATTTGTTTGTATTTCGATCATCATATGCATGTGACTTTCTAATCCCTCCTGTTTTCCAAAAAAAAAAATGTGACGCACCAATGGTGACGCAGAATTTCAATGATAACTACGCAATGCTAACGTCAGAAGGAGCAATGCAAACATAATGTGTTTAAAAACATTTTTCTTCATTTTCTTATCAAACATCAGTATCAGAATCTTTATAAGGGTAGCTAGAACTTCATGTTTATTGCAGAAAATAGTAAAAGAAGCATGAGACCGTCTTCTCTACTTTCAAAGTTCATGCACGAAGATCAATCTGTACCTCTAATGATAATGACTCACATCGCAGTACAAGAATCTCGTTCACAACATTTTGTACGAAATATGGAACTTTAGTCATAATAAGTATTGAGCAACCTAAGTTAAAGTTCAAACTATGGTTCCTTGAAATAGTTTAGAGTGTGTAATTTGGATCATAGTGAGTTAAACTCATCAACAAAAAATTTGGTGTTTGGATCATAGTAATTACTTTTGCGATAAATTTATCGTTTTTTTTCACTCCCAAGTAGAGGCAATAGTGCCAGAACAGAACGGGTCCAATTGTTCTAAATTCTAATTACATCATGTCAAAAGATTTTTAATTCAAGCCAAGTTAAACCAACTTAATTGTGTGGCCAAAAAAATAGCCTTGTCTTATAGTACTCCTCTTGGGCCACAAGTCAAACGAATCAACTTATAGGTCCCATTATATTTTTTAAGACAAATGACCTAACATCATTCAATAATTGGTGTACAGAAAACATTATTCAATAATTTCTTACAGTGCATTTTAATTAAATTATTAAATCACGTGACATATTATATAAATAACCATGAACGCATATCATAAATTTTAGATAATTGAAATATTAAGTAAACTTAAAAAAAACAAGGTGAAGGAAAATACATCAAATAAAAATAATTATAAATAAAACCTCAATCAAATGAAAATGATATCAGTTGAAATTTGATGTAAGAAAAAAAAATTATAAATAAAACTTCAATCAAATGAAAATGATAGCATTGAATAATGTGAAATCAAATAATATTTGTTTATGTATACAGGTTTATAAGGATTTTTAAGAGTTTTTATTTACCGAAAAATATTCAAAATTTTTAGTAAAAAAGCTTTTAGAAACTTTTTAAGACTGTATTCATATACACATTCAATACATATTTAAAAGTGATCGTTTAATTTAATTATGTCCGCTTTCTAAAAAGAGAAAATTATGTTGAATCCAAAAGATAGAAAGCTAGTGATAGAAGGGTATTATAATGTTGAGCATAACATGCGAAGGTGTCCCAGCAATCTCTATATGACTAGTAATTATAAGGGTAATTAGATTTCAAAACAGCAGCATATAATCATAAGAGTATTATGATGAATGATATTGTTACTTTGTCTGAAATGCTAACAGCACGATGCTAATGAATGGGGAAACATGTAGTTTATCTAATTGCTTTGTTCTAGTGGGTTTTCTTTTTCATGATTAAAAACAATAGTGCGTTTATTTTAAATATTAAAATATTTTTATTATTTTCAAAATAATTATAACTACCATATCTAAAATTTCTTTTATAATTAATAACTAAAAAAACTACTTTTTTACTTTATAATCGATCATCAAAAATCTAATTTTTCTGTCAAAAAATATAATTTTCTTTTTTCATATACATTCTTAAAATCACCTTTCTTTTATCTTCAGGTCAAGTTTAAATAATAAGCGGTTCCGTAATTTATTTGATCTTGCATGAAATTAAGAGCATGTCCAATCAGAAATGGAAGCACTGTAAGCATATTTTTCTAAAAGGTGAGGTTATAAATTTTTTTTAATTAATTAGTTGAGACGAGTTGTAACATGATATACCTTCACAGATGATAGTATTAGTTTTTAATTTATTGTTATTATTTTAGCTTCACTCCTTTTCCAGTATATATATCAAGTCATGAATTAACTTATGCATCATATCACAATTCATATATATATGAATGCAGACAAATTACAATCCTGATTAACTAATGCATATATAAGAAATGAATAATTGCAAAAGATCTAAGGAATGAATGATGAGGTAAATGGCAAATTAAACTCCTTAACTTTGATTATAATATTCTTTTAACTGATCAACTGAAACCAGTTGGTTACTTAAAGTCGTTAATCACTGTGCTAACTACATTATTTGCCTCGACGATCAAATAGTAATTTGGCCAAAGTTTAATTATATATAGTTTACCATAGAGATTTACATTTAGCAGCAATAACAACCTAGGTATAAGAGCAACAATGGAATCAAGATATTCAACCCTCGGCCAATTTGGTTTGTTTACTCAGTCAATCTTTCCCTTTCAATAATTACATGATTTTATTTTAGTACCCAATATTTTATTAGTTAAGAGATAATAATCCTGCTTTAAATTTTCACTAAATGGATAATGTTGAATTCTTTATTACAAGAAATGTTATATATAGTGATATATAAAAAGTGTCACTATACCTATAATACATGTAGGTATATATCTATTTGACATATAGTTACACATAATTTTAGTGTTAATTTTTAATGAGATTCAACAATATATTTTATGTGTCACTATAGTCTATATATACATTTTTTAACATATACCAACATATATTGTATTTATTGTGTGAATAAATGTAATTTTTAGTGACATATATAGTATCACTATAAGATGTGTATCACTATATTACAATTTTCTTGTAGGCTTCTACTATATTTTCGTACTAATAATTTTAGTTTATTGTAAAAAAAACTAAATAAAAAATAAACACATTTAATGTCTTAAAAACAAGAAAAATGTTCAATATTATTTATTCAATAAGTAAAAGGATAGTAGAAGGATATCATTAAAAGATTTAAAAGTGACAAATACTAATTAGAGCATATTTGAGAAAAATTATAATCCCACACATCCGTTGTTCTTTAGAATAAAAAAAAAAGTTATTTGCAAAAGAATAAAAAATGACTAGATTTGGAACAACAATTTTTTAAACAATTTTTTCTTCTGTTTTCATGAAGCTGAAAGTTTAAAGTTTATAATTATTTTTCAACCGCTTTTTCTTCCTTAAAGATGTTTTTGCTACAAAAAAATTGTTTTTTGTATTTAATTAAATAAAATTGAATGTTTAAAAATATTTTTTCAACAAATTTATTCATATAAAATTTCATTATGATTATATTTTATTATGTATAATCGATTATTGAAGCAAAAAATACTACAGTACCTCCCTCCTTCCCATTTCTCAGTGCTTTAAATTTAATGCACACAGACAAAGAGATATTTAATAGATACACAATTTTGAGTAGAATTAATACCAGTGTGTTCATTGATTGAGTAACCCACTTTCTAGTTAAAAAAAAAAAAAAAAAAAAAAAGTGAGCCGCTGGTAGAGAGAATATTTATTAAATAAAAGTATAATTAAGAAAAATATTTAATTTTGTTATTGAAATTATAAAACATCAATTGTTTTGGAGAAGAAAAAAAAGCTAAAACCACTAAAGAAATGAAACTGATGGAGTATTATTTTTTTCACAAATTTAATTGATATACTGTTAAGCATAAACATTTTAAAATTAAAAATTTATCCTAGATATATATAACTTTTAAAATACTAACTTTTAATTTTTTTTTTTTATCTATCAAACCATGTGTACCAAATTACCAATCCCATTAAAAAAAATTATAAACAGTCAATGATCGAATAATAAGAGTGTACAGGACTTTTATGGTTCTCTAATTTAATTCTTTTTCTCTTTTTACATGTCTCATGATTAATCTTTGTTGTACAAAAATAATTTCTCAACTTTTATAGCAAAAAGGAGACACTGCGATCCTTAACTGCGTGTATGTCAGACAAAATTCAAACAAAATAATTGCCCTTGTATCCTCTACCAATGGAGAGAGAGAACATGAAGGGCAACGTAGTAGTGAAGAGCGTATATTTGTGGCATAATTTCAATAAATGGAAAAAAAATATGTGAACCCAGATTGGACAGCGATGCGAGAACACAAATTTCCATGAATAGACTGAATCATCACTGTCATCAATACTGAACAATATATTGAAAACATATGTATATCATTTTCTAAAATAAAAATCAACTAGTACTTATCTTTGAGCAATAATATATAAGAATGGGTTGAAATTCGAAAACTTGAAATATCTCTGCTGATATATACTGAGATTACTTACCAAGGCTTCATTATAGTGATTTTGTGCATGCTAAAACCAAAGCCTTTGACATGAATCTAAGACAAATCCGTGATTTGGCACATATCCAATTCCCAAGCCAGCTTCAATTTTCAGTGATCCTCAGATGCAAGCCACTTGGAAGAATGTCCATACTTAAAATATATTTCATTCCTGCATATAATATTAAATGTTTTAACAAGGACAAAGCTTGTACACACGGGAACCCCACCCTCCAACCGAGAAAATTAACTACAAGAATCACTAATCAAGGTAACAAATCAAAAATCCTCTTTATAGATCAGTTTGGTACAAGTACAAACCATATCGAATTTGATAGTTATGATCAATGGATCTGATAATTAACTGAAGCCATAGTCATAAAAATATTAAAAAAATAATGTAGGCAACATGAACACCACTCGATCAGCGACCTAAAATCCAAATATTAATTTCTCTCTCATACCCTCTGTATTGTGAGTGTGTGTATGTCTTTATTGCCTCCAGATTTGGATAAAGTGATGATTCAATATATATTAAGAAACTGAAAAGACACCATTTTATGTTGAAAAGGAATATTCATAGATCTGTGAAGTCAGCACATAAGGGACCTAACAACAGCCGCACCACTCAGCCTCCAAAATCTAAATAGCCAATATTCGATAACCTAGGACTGTCTGCAAATATTGCAAAAGGGCTAATTAGTGTGCAATAATAATATACTTAAAACATAGACAAGGAAGGCCATGCTTAATGTGAATAAATAAAAGTTTGGCACTAGAACAAATTGCAAGCAAAAGACATAAAAAAAACCGTCCTGACAAGTAAAGCAGAAAGAGTCACCTCTATTGTTATGCATCATGGTCATGGGCACAGTATCTGGAAGTTTGAGCTGTGTGTAGACCTATCACTTTGTTTCTTTTTTATCTCCACTCTTTTATTGGGGCTAAACTTATACACCTTTTTAAAGTCGTTTATGGCTGATGCAGCATCATCAAGATTCTCACTCCAAAAAGACCAATGGATAGATTGGGTCAGAGCTTAGATTGCATCATAGTCCCATCCACCTTCATTTGCATGTGAATCTTGATGATGCTACATCCGCAAACAACGACTGTCAACCTCTCCATGCAACTATAGCTTCAGAAAAACAAAGTATGTGTATAATATATTTAGAGGCTAGCTAGCATTATTACCAATCTTGGTGAAACTTAGATATGGCTAAATAGCTTACTCTAAGAGTGAAGTCCAATTAATCTCACGGAAAATTGTCAGAGAGAAAATAAAAAAAGGGGAACAACATGAAACAGAGAGAAAGCAGGAGAGGGTAATAAATAGAAAAGAAAGAGAGGACACGGAAAATTGAGATTTTATGTGCAATTTTAGCAGCAAGGCCACGAGGAGTAGCTGATGTGGCTTGTTGCAAGTGGTTAGTGTGTGTTTGGCACACGAGGCCAGTTGGGTACCCGAATGGAATCTAACCACATGAACTCAATTCATACCTCAAGAACAAAACAAAAGCCAAAACCCCAATTAAAAAAAAATAAAAACAAGAAAATTTCAACAACAAAAGCGCTTACTTTCAGAACCTCCAAAGATCGAAGAAAACCAAACAAAACAAAACGGGATTCAAAGCCACTTAATAACTATACTTTTAGAATCTACAGGTTTTGCTGTGTCGATTAAAAAGAACCATACTTTCCCTTAGGGAAAAAAGCTTAAAAGAAGAAAAGAAAAGAAAACTCAAAAGGGAAAGTCTCACGTACCTTGGGAAATCCATATATAGGAAGAAGTTCTCAAAAGAAATAAGGGTATACATCTAGATATTTCATATTTATATATACGTATGGTGGAAATAGATTATAGATCAGAGTAGAATCGGGAAGAAGAGATATAAAGAATATATTAAATGCATATGTCGCAAAACGCCTGAGATCTAAACCTGAGAAGGAAAAGAAAAGCAAAGGAGAGAAGAAAAAAAAAGGGTGGGAAGAGAGAGAAGTGTTGAATGGTAACAGTAGATGAAGGTTATATATATAGAGATAGAAGGATGAGTTGGTTGAAAATATATATGTAATTGGTGATTTGCTTTCTCTATATTCCCATTGGTTGGACTTAGCTGTATATGGTACTGTACCCAGTTTTATGTGGCTTGTAATCTCCCCTAAACCCTAATTTCAAGTTCAATGGCGGAGGGTTGACGCCACAACAAACATGCTCATTTTCCACATCATAGTATTGCCCAACCATGTGCATGTTTGGTTCCGCATTTTAAATAAATAAATTATATTTTAAATAAACCATCATTCATAATTTATTTTGAATTTAATCACTACTAATATCTTAGTTTGTACAATATATATACATATTATTATATATAATATAATTAAAATTTATAATAAGTTATATATGTAAAATATTACATTTAAATATATATAAATTATATTTTATATTTATGATAAATAATTTATATTATAAAAAATATTTTTTATTTATTGATAATTTTAAAGTATTAATAAATAATTATACTAAATACAATCGAATTTGATAATAGAGGTTATAAAAATCTTTACAAACTCCTTTTTTAAAGAAAAGATTCTAAAAAATATTCTCGCAACTAATCATTAATTAGAAATTATTATTGTGATGACTTACAATAATTATTATAAAAATTGATAAACTTGATAGTTTGTAATTAAATTATATATATA